TGCCTGACAGCCTAGGCAGTCCTCGGCAGGCAGATACACAGACACCTATTGCGGCCCTATGACCACTGTTTTGTTGTCAAGGTGGACTTGTAGATGGGGGAAAGGAAGTGTAAAGATAATGGTGTAGTTTGTATATCCTATTTGTATTTGTTAAAAAAAAAAGTTCAGTTGCTGTTTGTACTGAGAAGTAACTCCTTGTCTGTTTCTCTGTTGTAACTCTCAACTGTCTGCTCTATTGCGATTACTCATAGGAGATTCACTAGCGGCTTTTAGTTACTTGCTCACAGGTGTCTTTTATACAGGTAACGATCTGAGATTAGGAACAGTCTCTTAAAGGGAGTGCTCTTAATCTCAGCTTGTTACCTGTATAAAAGACACCTGTCCACAGAAGCAATTAATCAGATTCGAAAGTCTCCACCATGGCCAAGACCAAAGCACTGTCCAAGGATGTCAGTGGCAAGATTGTAGACCTACACAAGGCTGGAATGGGCTACAAGACCATCGCCAAGCAGCTTGGTGAGAAGGTGACAACAGTTATTTATGCGATTATTCGAAAATGGAAGAAACACAAAATAACTGTCAGTCTCCCTCGGTCTGGTGCTCCATGCAAGATCTCACCTCGAGGAGTTTCAATGATCATGTGAACGGTGAGGAATCAGCCCAAAACTACACGAGATGATCTTGTTAATGATCTCAAGGCAGCTGGGACCACAGTCACCAAGAAAATAATTGGTAACACACTACGCTGTGAAGGACTGAAATCCTACAGTCCCCCTGCTCAAGAAAGCACCTGTGTAAAGGTCAGTCTGAAGTTTGCCAATGAACATCTGATTCAAAGGAGAACTGGGTGAAAGTGTTATGGTCAGATGAGATCAAAATCGAGCTCTTTGGCATCAATTCAACTCATCGTGTTTGGATGAGGAGGAATGCTGCCTATGACCCCAAGAACACCATCCCCACCGTCAAACATGGAGGTGAAAACATTATGCTTTAGAGGTGTTTTTCTGCTAAGGGGACAGGACAAGTTCACTGCATCAAAGGGACGATGGATGTCAAATCTTGTGTGAGAACCTCCTTCCCTCAGCCAGGGCATTGAAAATGGGTCGTGGATGGGTATTCCAGCATGACAACGACCCAAACCACACAGCCAAGGCAACAAAGGAGTGGCTCAAGAAGAAGCACATTAAGGTCCTGGAGTGGCCCAGCCAGTCTCCAGACCTTAATCCCATAGAATATCTGTGAAGAGAACTGAAGGTTTGAGTTGCCAAACATCAGACTCGAAACCTTAAGGACTTGGAGAGGATCTGCAAAGAGGAGTGGGGCAAAATCCCTCCTGAGATGTGTGCAAACCTGGTGGCCAACTACAACGTCTGACCTCTGTGATTGCCAACAAGGGTTTTGCCACCAAGTACTAAGGCGAAGGGGTCAAATACTTATTTCACTCATTGACATGCAAATCAATGTACAACTTTTTTGACATGCGTTTTTCTGGATTTTTTTTGTTTGTTATTCTTTCTCTCACTGTTAAAATACACATACCATTAAAATTATAGACTGATCATTTATTTGTCAGTGGGCAAACGTTCAAACTCTGCAGGGGATCAAATACTTTTTTCACTGTATATAGGTGCACAATAGAAATTTAAACCCAACAGTGTGAGTGTAGATTAAAAATCAATAAGTGACCAAATGTTTACAACTAAAAAGGAAGTAATCTTACTACCCATGAGTGTCACAAAACACACTGTTCTATAGTGAGTAGTATAAAATATACTTGCACAGAGATTGATATGATGGGCAAGCGAAAAAATCTGAGTGACATTGACAAGAGTCAAATAGTGATGACAACTGGGTCAGAGCATCTCCAAGATGGCAAGTCTTGTGGGGTGAGAGGCTAGTCCGTCTGGTACGATCACACAAAACAGCTAGGTTAGCTAAAATTCCTAAAAAACATAATGCTGACCATGATAGATGTCAGAATAAACATTTCATCACAGTTTGCTGCGTATGGGGCTGTGCAGCTGCAGATCGGTCAGAGAACCCATGATAACCCCCTCAATTCCGAAAGTACCTTCAATATGGACGTGAGTGTCAGAACTGGATCATGGCGGAATGGAAGAAGGTTGCTTGGTCTGATGAATCAAGGTTTCTTTTAGATCAGTTAAATGGCTGGCTACATGTGAGTCATTGACCTAGGGAAGAGATGGCAGCAGGGTGCACAATGGGAAGAAGGCAAGCTGGAGGAGGCAGTGTTACGCTCTGGGTAATGTTCTGCTGGGAAACATTATGTGGATGTTACTGTGACAAGTACCACCTACCTAAGCATTGTTGTAGACCACATACACCCCTTCATTACAATAGTGTTCCCTGGTGGCAGTAGCTTCTTTCAGCAGGATAGTGCACAATGCCACATTGCAAAAACGTGGTATTGTGGTTGGTTAGAGGCACATGATAAAGAGTTCAAGGTGTTGCCAAGGCCTCCAAATATATCAATCCAATTGAGCATCTGTGGGAAGTGCTTGAACAACAAATCCGATTCATGGATTTGCAGGACTTAGAGGATCTGCTGCCAATGTCTTAGTGCTAGATCCCACAGGAGACTTCAAAGGTCTTGTAGAGTCCATGCCTCAAAGCATCAGAGGAGTATTGGCATCACAAGGGAACCTGCACAATATTAGTGTGTGTGTAGCTCACATTGGGCGAGGAGAGAAGTACCAGGAACCTTTGCCAGTGTCCACTGTATTCCAGTCAAACTCCTATGCTTGATAGCAGACCAGCAGGAACAGTCACAGTGGGTGTAAAACTCAGTGCTATCCCATCTCCCCCAGTGTCTGTGTGTGAGGCTGGGCAGGAAGTGGAAGGGATCACTTCCCATCTACCAATAACAGCCTCTTACACAGTAAACGACTTGTTATCAATCATTGAAGGGTATCTGGAGACATAAATGGGTGAGTACTTTGCAAATAACCCCTCAAACTCCACGTGCACTCAACACTACCTCTTCCCTTACCCTAAATGTAACCCCTCCCAAAACCAAAACAAACCCACTTTTAAGCAGTCAGAACAAACCTGAAAAAATATTTTACCCTAAAGCAGCACTGTCACAGAATTTGCAAAGAGCCCTGATGATGAAATCACTGCTGGGGGTCCGGTGGCCAAGGGGATGGGAAAAGGTAGTAGAAAAGAGGAAAAGAAGTCAAAGCGATTGGGAAAAGGTAAGTACAGCGGGACAGTGGCGCATTAAACCTTTGTTTAACTCCTCGTAAAAGCTAAACACTCAATGTACCCCAGTACTATATTTAACCCAACTCTAACCCTAACCTTAATCTTCTAAACACACCTTGTACCACAACTATGACTGAGCTTTTAATCCTTTTAACACTAAACAATCTATGTAAACTAACTCTAACGTACCTTAACCACTTCTAACATTACTTCTAACCCGGCATGCATTTACAAAGCTGCATACACTCACTATACTCATAGATTCAACCACAATACAGTACAAACAAAAATCTGCACATACACATATACATAACAACAATAATAAGATAATAATAATACATTATCAATACCGCTGTATACGATAAAAAATCATAGCATTTTGTATATATGTACTCGGAGCGTTCCTGTGAGTTAAACAACACACATAAAGCAATGTTACAAAGTGTATCTATCCTAATATACCCAAGAATACAAGGTGACTAAAATCTTAGTGTTAGTATTATTCATACATTCAAAGCCACAAGTAAAAAACATATTTAAATATCAATGAAATAGTATAATTAAATCCCCCAAAATGCTATGACTGTGCTGGATAATTGGTATGTGAGTAGAAGACTATAACAATGAGTGTGGCAAAGGCAGAACATTTCTCCCATGTACGATAAATAAAAAAAATTAAAGTGTGAGCATTATTCTATTTGAATATCTTCAAATTCATAAACTGAATGTCCATAGAATTAGTACTATACTTACATACTGGTCCCAAAGTATGTAAGAACCAATTCTACTATGTCTCTTAATGAAGTATTTAACTCCTTAAGGACCAATGACATGACATGATATATATTTATAAAAATTACATGCACACATACATTTTTGGACTATTGAATGTATTTATTATTGAAAGTTAGTTTATGGCGCCACCTAGTGACAAGACCTATATTCTATATTTCAGAACAGACCATATCTGTCTGTGTAGCTTTTTCCATAATCTAAGGACAGCAACCAATGTGTTTGCCTTAACAGCTTCAAAAATTTATAATAGAGCTTAACTAAATACATTATGGTGGTATTCAAATAAAATGACAAACCAGTAATTGGGTTAAACGCCAGAAAGGTGTATTAAAGGGACACTCCACTGGCCAAATACAAAATAAATTTTTTTTAAAAACACCGTTTAGAATATATACTTCCAAATACTAACATGCATGCATTTAGATATGTATGTTACCATTGTGGGTATATCTAAAAACAGCTTGTAAAAGCTGAAGATCTCTTGTCTGCAGCCTTTGCAAGCCCTCCCCTTCTAACCCCGCCCAGACCTTCTGTGACTGTCCAATCACATACTTCCCAATGCAGCTCAATGAGAAGTCTCTGGGAAACTGCTGCCTCTTGAGTTTAGCTCAAAGGGCTAACCAAACCAGGAAGTAACAGGACCTGGTGTGTGTGATTGAAATCCAGGGGGGTGTAACCAGGTGAATTTATAAAAGTGTCAGTTTCTATTGAAATAATCTGCACTTTTTTTGCAAAATGACAAAATAGGACACACATAAAGCATTTCAGCAAGATAAACTGTTTTAAGGGTATGGAGTGTCCCGTTAACCATTTGCCTGCCAGTGACATTACCAGCTTTACCATAAAATCCAGCTTGCAGAGGAGTTGATTCTATGTGATGGTCCCGTTGAAGTCAAGGTGGTACATGTAGAAAGACAAAACTGTTTAAAAATTTTAGGAACATTTCTGGCACTTGTAGGGGTAAAATCAAGTAGGAGCTGCTTGTAAATGATGAACATTTGGTCCAAGAGATTTACTTTCTTCTATCATAAAGTTCTGGATTTAATTAAAGGACCACTATAGTGCCAGGAAAACAAACTCGTTTTCCTGGCACTATAGGGTCTTTAGGTCCTCCCCACCCTCAGAGTCCCACTCCCGCTGGGCTGAATGGGGCTGAAGTGGTTAAAACACTTACCTTTCTCCAGCACTGGGCTCCCTCGGCGCTGGGGAACTCTCCTCTCTCTGCCGACGTCGGCGCTGAATGCGCATGCGCTGCAAGAGCCGCACGTGCATTCAAACCGCCCATATGAAAGCATTTCTCAGTGCTTTCCTATGGACGTCCAGGGTCTTCTCACTGTGATTTTCACAGTGAGAAGCGCGGAAGCGGCCTCTAGTGGCTGTCAGTGAGACAGCCTCTAGAGGCTGGATTAACCCTCAGTGAAACATAGTAGCAGCAGGGTTAACACTAGAGGGACCTGGCACCCAGACCACTTCATTGAGCTGAAGTGGTCTGGGTGCCTATAGTGGTCCTGTAAGGATCCCTTCCAGACATCAAGCGTATGTTTATCTTAACAAAGTGGTTTTGGTGCACAGACCATGCTTCTTTTGTCTGTCAATGTAAAACATTAGCATTTTCTCTAAACCATACTCCTAGTGTAGAATCCAGAACATAATCTCGGGAGGGGCACTGGTAGATTACTTAAAGAAACAGTCCAGACACAATAACAACTACAGCTCTCTGTAATGGTTATGCTGCCAGGAGTGCCGTGGCGCCCTCCAAGAGTAAGAAGCCAAACCGTTTAAGAACAGTTTGACTACTTACCTGAGGGTCTGCCAGGATAGGGGCAGTATATAGTGTGGTGAAGTGTGTGTAAGAAATTAATGCGTGAGTGTGAGTGGGGCAGTGTGTGTGTTAGGGGTGCAGTTTGTGTATGCAGTACAGTGTGTGAGGGGTGCAGTGTGTGTGGGGGTGCAGTGTGAGTGTATGTAAGGTAGTGTGTGTAAGTGCTAATGTGTGAGGGGTGCAGTGTGTGTGTGGGATAGTTTGTGTATGTGTGAGGGGTGCAGTGTGTGTATGGGGGCAGTGTGTGTGAGGGGCAGTGTGTGAATTGGGGGTATTGTGTGTATGGGGGAGCACCAATTGCACCATTGCCTGGGTCCTGGCTCTGGAACAGGTCATTTATAAATAAGAAAAAAAGGTATACAATTCTATAACTCTGCAGGAGAGATGGTCAAAGGCAGCTTTGGATGTGTGTAAACATAAAAATTGCCTTAGTGGCTGTCATAGTGACAACAAACAAAGGGGCGTCATCATTGAAACCTTCAGTTTCAAAGTGATCGCTCCTAGCTAGATGCCGCCAAACACTGCGAATGATTCTCATACAGAAGCATTCAGTTTAGTGCTTCGTTATGAAAAGTATCTGGCTAGTGGCAATGCTGCGATTGGTGGAAAGCGATGATTGGCTGTCATACACATAGGTCCGCAATGCTTCTCTATGAGAGACACTGGATTAGACCAAGACCATCGCAAGTGCTAATCAGAGAACTGTCTGTTCTTGCCTTCAATTGCCATCAAGCAAAAACTGTTTTTTTTTTTCTTTTGACAAAAAGGTGCTCAGCTAAAAAAAATTTGATTTGTGAATTTAAAGAGAAAAGTAGAACTGAAAATAAATCCTCCAAGTTAGCTATGGTCATTTATTTTTAAGTTTATAGCATTCCTTTAATAGTAAAATGCGTTAGCAGGCATTCACTGCAATCCACTGCAGAATTACACAGTATTTCTTCCCTTTGTAAATGCTGTGGGTTTTTTGACACGCTAGACACCGGTCACATTTAAAGCAATCTGAGTTTTCCTTGAAAACAATGAGTTAAGCAAACATTTGTTATGAATGTATTTAAATGTTTATGAGGCTTTTCCAAAGACACAGAACAAGTTTGCACACAGATCAGCATAGTGCTGATTTATAATCTGTCATATTTTTATCAGAAATAATTTCCTCGACGGTAGACTTATCTTTATAAAGCCCGAGGTAAAGCAATGCATAGAACGGTTGTAATTTAATTATCACAAGAGCATTTGTGGGCACTAAAAGATATTTGATTTTAACAGACATTATATATCGAAAAAGAGAAAAGAGGTAAGGATTTTTTGCCTACACAGGGCCAAAATAAAATCAAGTTTTAAAGTATTATATAAACCTATATTGATTTGTCTCACGCCTGGCACAGATCTTCCACACACTGTTCCCTTCTACATGCTCTGCTATAACACAGACAAAGCACACCATGATATGACATCATACAAAATATAAAACAGAATGGGTTAAAATGTAGTTAGTAAGGATGATCTTTGCCAAAGAGACACTATTCCCCTGCTCTAAAGATTTAGACCACCAATTAAAAAAAAAAAAATCAGTCCTCAGGGATTCCTGAGCCCTTTCCCCACCTGACACATGGTCATAGTTTAATTGGTGCACCTTTTCATGTTATTTACCAATGAAGAAGCAATGATACAATTTTGTTAATCATTCAGTCAAATGTGAGCTAATAAAAACAGCAAGACTTAACTAGCCACATAGTATAAAAACCGTTCTATATTCTAAATACAGATCATGTAAAAACATGTCTACAAGCCATTTAGCAGTGTTAAGAACCAGCAGTATTCACTCTATGTTGTCATAACAATGTGTTGCAATATGACATTAAATGTCATGCTCATTTAGCGAAATCCGTGTTCTGTAGATGGTAAATAAGCAGAACATGCTGGGCTGTTAATAGCTCTGTGTGTTAATGGCACGGTTTATTACAGGGTTAATCTCTTCTAATCCTCTCTAATCAAAGGTGCACTAAAGAGCAGATCTACTTAGCACTGAATGACTCAGACTAATCTATCTATGTATCTATATATAAATATATCTGTCAGTCTGTCTGTCTGTCTGTCTATACATCTCTCCAGCGCATGCACCTCTCTGAGAGATACCAGAATACTCAGAAACATGCCTGCTGTGATCAATCTGAATAATCGCAGCGTCTCACGGCAGCAATCAGTGGATATACTGCAGCCCCTAGATCACTGGAGGAGCAACACGAAACATACTCAGTGTTAATCACCAGGGAATATATATAAAAAATTGTAGAGGGGACATCTGTGCAAGGCTCGAGATGGGTGAGAAAACCATTTACCCGTGCCTAAAGAGTATTCTCACAGCAAGTTACCCTCAGCAACTACTTGCAAACACCTGGTTACCCAGACAGCACTAACTACTCACTGGGCTGCATTGGGAAATCTGTGATTGGACAGCCACATAAAGTCTGGGCGGAGTTAGAAGGGGAAGTGCTTGAAAAAGCTGCAGATAAGAGATCTGCAGCTTCTGCAAGCTGTGTTTAAAAAATATATATATTCCCACTGAGAAAATGCATAATTAAATGTTTTAATTTGGTTTATATCTTCTAAATTGCCAAAAAAAAAATATATAAACATTTATTTTTTTAATACGAATGTTCCTTTAACACACTTCTCAAAGCATATGCTTAGAATGGATAAATAAGGCCTACAGTTGGCAAAACATTTCAGTCTGATCTCTAACTTTCACAAGGAAACGCCAGATTGATTCTTTAATATCAGGACAGTGCTCTCTGTGTGTGGAGCAAACTGACGTGAGATCAGAGAGAGATTATTCTTTACCTAATACTGTGTAAGATGATTATAGTTATCTGGGGCAAGTTAAATCCCACCGAAACATATAATATTTTTGGAGATGACTCTAAACATGAATTATTGGCAAGCATAAACCTCTTTAGTTTATTTCCATTCAGAAAAGCAGATTACAGAGTTGGAAACAGCATGCACTTATTTGAATAAAACAGCTCTTTTCTCTGTCTCTCCAACATGTTTTGTACACACAGTGTTAAAAAGAGATTATGCATTTTGAGTTAACAATAAACTGGAGGCTCTGGAACAGGCCATTTATAAATGAGATAAAAAAGGCATACAATTCTTTAACTCTGCAGGAGAGACGGCCAAAGGCAGCTTTGGATGTTTGTCAACATAAAAACAGGTGTAAAACGTGGGAATGGTGGAATCATTTAGAATAGATGATAGCAGCTGGTAGGACAATTAAAGGGCAACTGCCTCCTCAAAACTATTTTCATTAAAATAACTCCTTTTATCAAGCATTCTAAGGATTTTTTTTTTAAATTGATTGTATGTGAAAAAAATAAAAAAATAAATAAAAGCCCATCCCTACCCTTAGTAAATGACAGGACCAAACAGACATATGCACACACCTTAGGTCAGACAGTGTTTGAAAACCAACAGTTAGTCTCTATGGTCTTCCCACGGAAGCAGAGAAGACACTGGGAATTCTAAAGTGGATTTCACATTGAAAGTCAAAATAGTCAAATTGGAAAAATTCTCTCAGTCTACTATTCTTTCATTTCAGCTACTCTGGCCTTACATTTGAAATTTGCTTTGAATCCACTCTAATGTATCACTTTAGTAAGTAACCCTGTAACTGTCAGTTTTCAAAGATTGTTTGAGCCAAGGTTCATGTATATGGCTGAAGGATCTTGTCTTATGCTATAGGTAGGAATGAGCATTTCTCATTTTATTTTACATACACTTCATTAAAAAAAAGTTTCCATTTCAAGAGTTGATGGAAAGATTATTATATTAAAATTATTAAAGCAAAAAGAAAGAATATGAGAACTCTGAGAAAGGACAAAAGTTTAGAGCAGTGTTTCCCAACCCAGTCCTCAAGGCACACCTACCAGTCCAGGATTTAGGGATTACCCAGTTGTGTCTAAGGTGTTTTTTTTTCTCCTTTGTAAAAACACCTAGACACAACTGGGTAATCCCTAAATCCTGGACTGGTAGGTGTGCCTTGAGGACTGGGTTGGGAAACACTGGCTTAGAGGAACTCAACAGCTTGCCCTTCGGTAAATCCCATCTCAGGTCTCAAAATAACGATCGTCTGGGGTTGCTTGTTGGCATTTCGGATCTGGGCTGCCCGTATGGGTGGGGCCAGTCTGATAAGATTCAGATATGTTCTCTTGGTAATGGCACAAGTGAACATATATATATACATATCGAGTGGCTTAAAACTTAGAGAAGGGTTTGAGTTAATAACTTTTTTTTTATTAATGAACCAATTGCAATGCTATCACATACAATGAATACTTAAAGGATCACTATAGGGTCAGGAACACAAACATGTGTTCCTGACCCTATAATGAAAATTCAC